TCAATGTGAACGTAATCGCAAATAATGCGTGGAGAGCGATAAGCGTTTAAAAACAGGAGATGATAGGCGCCCCTCCGCATGGCACAGCCCAACAGTGTGGCGCCTCCACAGCCCCATCGAGTCAAGACAAAGCAGTCAAAGCCATGCACGTTAAGCCAAAGGATAAAAGGCAAATTAATTTAGCCTCCCTCACACACCCGTAAATACAAAGAGAAGCGAGGGAGAGAGAAACACGGCAAAACAAAGAAAACAACAACAACAACAACAACAATGTGCTGGCTTCCTCTGTGTGCCCCTCTGCCCAACGGCCCACACACCCCTTCCCCTATTTCAAGAGCTGCATGCAGCTGACGTCAGTGCTGTCGTCATTCTGGCGGCAGCTGGCGTCGACGCCCCTCGCGCGTGCTACAGCATAACAGGCAGCGAAAAGTGCAATCGTCCCTCCCCCTCCCGTTGCCTCCCACCAGCAGCCGATCCTGTGGCGTGCGTGGCTCCGTGGTCGGCCTTGATGCTGACGGTCCTAGGTCCATATTGCAGCTGCAAGCACACTCGATGGCAACGCAGCCAATGCACAGCAGCTGGCAGAATAAAAAGATCAGGATGCGAGAAGAAGGAAGAGACAAGCACATGCCGTGGGGCACAAGCGGCAGCAGCAGGAGGAGGAGGAGCAGCAGCAGCAGCAGCACACACCAGAGTGTGCTTGAACAGCGACACACCGCCAGGCAGAAAAAAAAATTACAGAAATCCATCAAAGAGAAAGGAATGGGGGTGGGAGTGATCAGAAGAGGAAAAGAAAAGTGTGTGTGTGATGCCGCTGGAAACACTGCACGGAAGCTCTCCTGCCATGCCTTACCTGGTTCCGTTTTCTTTTCTCGCTCTGTTCATGCAGCGCACAGCCAGAAGCCAAACCACCGCCACCGCCACCACAGCAGAAACAGCAGCCACGGCACTCTTCATAATATTCCCTCACTCTAGCACACACACCGTGCCCATGAAAAAAAAAAAGAATACATACCTCTGTACAACCCCGCGATGAGAGGGACTGCGACGAGCAAGCGAAGAGGTAGAAGAAACCTTTGGTGAAATCCCTCTGCCCCGCCCACTTCCAACAACACAATGGAGAGGCACGCCTACAGACACCCAAACCAATACAGATGTATATGTATAGAATGGGCTCTGAAGCACTGGACAACTATACATACACATATCTGTATGCATAGATGTGCCACGTTCTCTCTTCGTGTCGTTTGTCCACCCAGATTCACGCATCCATTGCCTGCTCCCCCATTTCGCTGTCACCCCGCCTGTTCCTTCTTGCTTGGTAGCATCCTCGCCCTTAGTTT